GGAATTGAACAAAAGGAAGTAAATATTAACAAATATAAACATGTTTACTGAAAAGAACATGTATTACACTACTTCTCTACGTAATCTCCAGACAAATTTAAGCATTTTTTGTATCGTGTCACGAGTTTTTGTATACCAGTGTCAAATTCCTCCGCCGCCAGTGTATTGAGATACGTACGCAGTCACGTATTCTTTCAGTTCTTTGTTATTTTGAAACTTTGTCCCTGCCACGAAGTCCTTGAGTTTCGAAGGCAGATGAAAATCTGAAGGAATTAAGTCCGGACTGTAGGCTGGATGGTCGAAAATTTCCCTCTTGAATTTTTGGATAAGTTGTGTTATTTGAGCCGTATGCGGCCTGGCATCATCGGGCAGGAGACCGACGCGCAGTAGACAACAGACCTCGCCGTTCGATTTTGAATTGCCCGCCGTAATTTATTTAATGTTTCTCAATATGCATTGGCATTGATTGTATCTCCACGAGTCATGAAATCGATGAGCAGTACACCTTGCCGATCCCAGAAACACTGGCGGCGGAGTGCTATGACACTGGTATACAAAATCTCGTGACACTATACGACAAATGCTTAAATTTGTCTGGAGATTACGTAGAGATGTGGTAGTGTAATACATGTTCTTTTTAATAAACATGTTTACATTTGTTAATATTTACTTCCTTTTGTTCAATTCCCAAACGGGTACTACTTTCCGGATGCCCCTCGTAGATGCAGTAAATTGTGTGAGATACAGTAAAGATATACCGTGAGATGCCGTTCAGGGTACAGTGCACCAGTGCCGCTGGGTTGAGGCTCTGCAGTCGGCGAGGAATGCATCTATCTAAGTTATTGCCCAGCAGTACTCGCTGACAACTTGCAAGTCATTGCTAGTAGCATTACATTATTTTAAAAATGATATTGTATTTAGCAGTGATGAATAAACCAATTTGTGTTATTATTTCAAACTTTTCCTTTTAGCAAATTAATTTTTGATTCGATCAATCAAAAAAGATGCTTAATCTGACAACGCATTATATGGAGTTGAAACTCGCGTATTTCTTCCTAATCGCACAGATTCAGAATAGCCATCTAATTCTTCCTCAAAACGTAAACGTTAAAAGCCCTTAGATATTCAAGTGAAAATTGATCCCTTATAGTGCAGGCTTCACTACTGACTTTGAATTTAACTCCTCAATTATAGTTATATTGTAGAATATTTATAAGTATTTTAATTAGAATGGGACTGCCGAGTCGCCACAAAATTAGCATCAGCATTTAACTTTTTATTCACAACGAAATTCCTTCCCAACTCTCGTGCCATGGCTTCAACTATGCAGAGAATTTTGATTAAAGACGCGCACCGAATCGTCGCCAGAAACTCACGCGTCAAGAAAAAGTTATTGGCAAAAGTTTGGAGATTTGGGAGATATTTTCATAGGCATGGGGCTTTTGTTGGGATCGCGTCTCATCACTATAGTGAAAGTTTCATTATTCCTCACAATAGTTTTAGCGTTAGTTCTTTCAAGAATTTTCGTCTTTTAAAACATTTGCAGTTCGAAGTTCGGAGATCCGTCTACGTTTTTTATGAAAGGATTATAATAAATTATTACTTAATTATTATTTTGAAATATTTCAAGCCTGGAGTTTCAAAGACTATGAATCTCGTAGCGTTCATTCCTCGAAATTCCGAATTTATCTCTAAGAATAAATGACATTGTTTCCCTTAAATTTTATTTTATTTTTATGTTTTTATAACACGCGCGTAAGAGAGCACCCTTGTTCGTGCTATCTTGCATATATTCAATTTTTGGAGTTGGAAGGCCTAAAAGTTTCTGGAATGCCGTACCGTTCATTTTGTTAACCATAAAAAATGTCAATAAGAAGAAAAAGTACGAGGAACTTTGGAGTCTTGAACAAACTTACCGACATTTGGATGAGGCAGGCGAGAAAAACAACTGATAAATCTCGCTGACGTACCTCGTCAGCTGACCGCCCCTAAAGCCATTCTTTATGCCCACCTGGTAAAAGGGAAAGAGTATTCGTATCGAAATAAATCATATTCTCTAGCCCCTGAGCGGTTAGTTTATAGCTTCTACTTTATGTGCAACATCGGGAGAAAATTGTAATTTTTTGGGCCGAGCCTGAGTTACTTTGGAAAAGTGAAGTGTAATTTTTTTCTAAATGGATGGTTTTAAAGACAGATGCAGTTTGAGAGAAGTTTGTCGATTATTATTCTTGTATAGTTAAATTTTTTATAGGAAAATTGATAAAAAAATATATGAAGGTGATAATTAAGTGTAACCGAGTAGTTAAGATTACCAAGCTTGGAGCAGCGGGTTGGGGGTTCGAGACTCGCAACTAGTAGTGAAATTCTGTTGAAATCTGCCAAGTGGCCTGTTGGTTAAGAATCGTCGACAGGCCAGCATGAGCCAATCGAAACACCGCGAAAAATTAATTTATATGTGAGCAGCCAGAGGTATTTTTTCAGAGCTGACATCACGATGTATAAATTTATATGAGCCATTTCTACGCGAAAAAACATGCAAGCTTCTGAAGCTCAAATTTCCATATTTTTATTGAAGCTTAGATTGTATAGCTTTTGCTATTTGTAGGCAACATGGAAATATATCAATAAAATTTAATAATAAATTCGCAAATATTTTTATATGATTAGAAATATCCTGTTTATTCTGCCTTAACTGTCAGCATATTTACAAGGCGGATATTGATTAACTGTTAATCATGTTATAGAAGAAGAAAAACGACCTATCCTTTTACTGAATTTCGAAACTTGTAGAAACTGATCAGAATTTCGAAACTTGTAGGGATTATCCGTTCAGTTCCAATTGCCTAATCTAGGGTATTTCAACAAGTCATCTGATTTCATCAAATGCATCAGATGAATCTTTTATTGAATTAACGAGCTGATTTTAACGATATTTGGCAGAATTGAGTGTACTGAATCAGTGATCAGTTTCCGATTAATTTTTGAAACTGGTAATTTTTTTGGCTTGATTGTTGAAAGGAGGTGAAAAAAGTCTAGGTCTACTTTAACTCGTATTTATTAATAGGACACTGAGATCAGGCTACACCTTGCCCTACGCATAAGATGGTGTTGACTACATAGCTACTGGAAAACTAGTGTCTGATGCCCGTACAGAAATATTCTTATACTCATTACGACGATGTTATCTTGCTGAGGTCACCCTTCTAATTCCCTAACAATCTAGTAATAGAAAATTATTGTGATGGGCTTGACAGGCATTACGTATCGTTACCAAGCGTCAAGTTCTTTGTAAACAAATAGCTAAAGAACTTCCCTGTCAGGCATGAGTGAAACTTGGCGGTTGAAACAATTGCATCTTCTAGGTTTGTATCAGAAAAGTCTAGTAACCGTTAAGTTAAATAAATTAATCGTTTCATACAACTACTCGAGCTTCGAGATGAAAAGATGTAGTGTAATCAGTTATGTTGTAATGAACTAAAGGCTTAATTTGATATACATATTGACTGCAACTTAGGCATTCAGAATATAGCTCTATAGAACATTATATTATGCTTTTTAGTATCTTACAAAAACAGTAAATAATCCGTGATCAGCTCCACTGACATCATATGCACTAGAAAGTCTACCAGACCTGAACAACTTACGTAAATCTTCTATCTATGAACAGAAAAGAGAATTGTATTATAATTATTATTTGTAAATCCTGTTCTAAATTTAATGATAAAAATTGTTTACCATCGCAACTTACAATGCATTATGATAAATGGTTTGAACTCTAGGATTCCATACATAGAAACGTGTCGACGACAGTTCACTATATTCAAGGGTAACTACATTATACTTGAAGATAAATATCATTCTACCATACAAATGTATGTACAAATGAATCGACGTTTCACGCTCATGTCGTACATTCGATTATAAAATTTAAACATGACCAAAATTTTAACAACCTTCAAGTTGAAACATGGCTATATTAGTCTTCAACAGATTTATTCCAATACAATATTATTTGCCGCATGTAGTGCGAGAATTTTGTTGATATATGGTACTGATAATAATTTAACGATCTCAACACTAACCGCTTCAAAAACAGTTACTTGAGACGTGGCAGAGTGAACAAGTCGGATTAATCTTTACCTTATTTAAATTTAACTTTCTAATGCCGTTTGTGAGAATACAGGTGTAAAATAACTATAAATTTGAATTTAATTGGAACACGAAAAAATGTTGCTAGTGGAACCGAAGCTTGCTGATCAGAATGGTAAGCAATATTCGTGATTTGTTTATAAGACTTCACACTCCAGAAGTTCAGCCCCTATTTACCATGGATATATGCATTCGATATAAGGCCTAAAAATTTGTATGCATTCGATCCGCAATCAAATTCCGGAGGTTCATTCATATTCACCTTGCATGTTTCGGAGTAATTTGTTTATTTCACAGGGCGGTAAATTAAGTCACTTTTGAATTCGTTACAATTCCCTGCGCCGTAAAAATTGCACAATATGCTTGATGAAAATAAATCTATCAGTATATGGTGCAAGTCTTGTAGAACGGCGTGTGAGATTATTTGTTATAAATCTACATATTATTCGGCTTTTTCGTTAGTTTCTTCCTAGGTCGAACTAAATTATGTGGACTGATGTTCGCAGATGTGGTTTTTAGTTTTCATTTTGGTAAGTAACTGATTTTTAATGACTAATTTAAAACAATAACCTGTGAGGGGAAAAATATAATTATGATACTGTGCGATACCTAATTAAGGTCAGCTTTTTAGATATTGGATGAATGTAAGTAATGAGTTTCATGTGTGCACGAATGAGGTACCCTACTAACATACCTGCGTCTATACCTTACGAACCGGCATTAAAAGAACTCGTTGGTACCATATCTTGCCGTCCAAATTGTTCGAAAAAATTACGTAAAACGGTCTGACTGGTATTTAAGTGGCCGGTCGGCACGTGAAATTGAACACCAATTTATTTTTCAATTTAACACAAGAGACCTGTTCTACATTTGCAAATTATAAATTATTCACTAAAACGCCGTTCGGACTGTTTTTTCGTCGTTATTCAAACAATGCATGCATGGGTGCCTATAGTGCCACGACGGTCGTTTGAAGCTGAACTAGTGCCAATAGGTGTTTTACTTGCTTCAATATCCACTTCCTTATCTCTTGTTGCAGCACTAGGATCTCAAGTAGAGATAGTTGCTTCGTTTGTTGCACTAATGTCGAGGTAGAACAGCTCCGGGTTGCGGAGCCACTAGAGCAACTAGACGCTTCACTAGCCTCTCCCACTGCCGCACTAGATGACGCACTGCACCATCTCTGTGACGTCGAATGCCAGCTGCAAGTTCCTCCAGCTGCAAAATGAGGAATCAATAACTATTAGAAACTTGATTGATAAAGAAATAATAACAATTAATGTTAAAAACATTGTTCCACGTCTATAATTTGTGACGCCACTAAAACACGCGCCCTTGCAAACCCTGCAAAAAAAGCATATTTCGCCTACTTTTAGCCAGAATTAAAAAAAAAACTATTCAGTACATGAGCAAGTTGTGTCACCATCTACTAGAATTGAATGAATTGTTCAAAATGTACGTTTTCAATTTTTCACAAGAATGCAAGTGCCATAATTAAGTCCCGAAATGTCTCACGGACTTTTATTAGATTGTCAGCAGCTTTTGATTTAGTAGCTGTCGACCTTTGGAATGAGTTCACTTTAAGTAATAATTTCCATCTGAGAATATCTGCCTAAGTTATTACTTAAGGCAGGAAGCAGACGGAGTGCAATATTGTTCTGCCTCTTAAAAACAGAACGCCTTGCCGTAATGGAGAGCTACTGTAAAAATACACCTTTTAAAGTTTGTTGGATGAAAGAATGGGAAAAGTCTTGAATGTTGGATTTAACTCCAAGGCCAAAAGAAAGCTAATACTTAATTTTATCGTGTTGATTTTAATCGTAAATATTACAAATAGTTTAGGATATTTTAGTCTCGCGTGAATATGCTCGCAACGTTAACCGAGCAGCAGGCAGTTTACACGCGGCCCACGCAATCCTCGCACAACGTCGTGTTATAAAGAACACATTGATGACTGTTTTTAGAATCGTAAACACAGAGGAAATATATATTAATTTTGGGGAATATATTCTCATGTGTAGCTTCTTGAGCGACCAGTATTTTCGTGTCTAAAGTTTTTTTATTAAAGTTATATGGTTTAGCTCAACTTTTTAAGAATATAAAATTGTTTTACTTCAAAGTTATTCTTTATTGATGCATGTAAGATTATAAGGACAATAATTCCCTCTGGGGCAATAACACTTGAATGAGAATAATAGCAAATTTCTACCAGCATTTAAATGTACATGGTGATCATCATGATAAAGTAATAGTATAGTATAGTATCTTCGGCATTAAAGAATAGGCCTGGATAGGCCTGTCGCCGATTCTTGTGCTTTTCTTGACTAAACTGGCCTTTTGATCAGATCTTTTCTACGGACGGTAGATTTAAAATCGATTCTAGATATCAGTTGTTCCGTAAGGTAAGAAGCATTTTAAGACTAAACATATGCTCTTGCATGGCCTTGTCTAGTCTGTTCTTGAACGCGTTCATACTCGGAGCATCAACAATATCTTCAGGGAGGTATAGTGATCATCATGATACAGTTATGACTACATAGTGATCATCATGATGCAGTTATGACTACATAGTGATCATCATGATGCAGTTACGATTACGAAATCCTAGCACAAAAGTTACACAAAATAAACTCAAATCCAATCTCGATTTTATTCATGCTATATTCAAAAGAAGCAAAATAATAAATTATGACCACTCAGTTCAGGAAATTACGGCCTGACGGTACAAAATGGCTCTCCTAGTTCGAACTAAACAACTTAAACATCTTAGATCGAGAAGTTTAATGCGGGAGTATTTTCATCATGGCATTAGCAGGCGTTAATTAAGAAGGAATGCTGCGAGCCTGCGAGGGCTGAGTGGGAGGAACTGTTTGCCGAGGAAATCTCAGCTGTTTGCTCAGCAATGCAAGGTTGTTTGTTGTGAGTCTCTATGAAGCCTCTGCGTTTTTTCATTAGCCATTATTTTAATAATTAAAGAGTTGTTCTTATGTGAGAGCTAATTCGAGGTTTTTCTTTGTTGGCGGAATTTTGGTTCACGAATATTCATTGTCGCTCGTTCTTCATTATCCGTCGCAAATCCTGAATTCGCCGTCACGTTTTCCTTAGAAAGTCACCATCACTCGTTGCTCATTTTCCGCTACAAGTCTAATTTATCGTTGCTAGTTTCCCATTCTCAGTGAAAACTTTTTAATCCATCGGTGTTCATTTTAAATTTACGTCATTAGCCTCAAATTGTCCGTAACTCTTCTCAGTTTTACCGTCGTTCGCAAACAAGCTCTATTATCCTCGTCAGCCATGAACTTAGCATCACTATTCTCAAATTTACCATTTGCCTCCAATTCTGTTACACTCGTCCAACTTCATCACGTCGAACCGCAAATCTTCCCGCGGTTACCGCCACTAGACACCGCGTGGTTCGTCTCGCGTTTGCCGTCACTAGTTTTAAATTCATTTACATCGCCTTTTCAGTCACTTCTTATCGTTGTTTTGAATTGCCCTTCATCACATCGACGCGTTACTCGTTTGCGCTTTCTTTCCTGAGGACGCGGAAGTCCGAGTGAGGTTAACGCGGCCTAAGAAGGGGTTCGTCGCCGGGTGCAGACATTAATGTCGTATCAACTATTTGGTAAAATTCAGTAATTGTTTGAGGTGATAGGTAAGGCTTCCTAAATAGTTATAGTTAAAAAATATTTCAATAGTCAGTAAATGAGTTCACCCTTAACTTATCCAATTTATTTGTATGCATTCATTCTTGATTGCATGACTTCAAAATTTGGAGAGATTGATTTACATGACAATTTTATGTTTTCCGGATTTTCGATACTAGCACGCAAGTATTGGACCGAGAAATATTGCTCAAGTAAAACATCAATGATTATCGCAATGTTGCCGTTAGTAACTTGAATTGTAATTTTTTTAAGATGAATTTCCGTTTTCTTGTTCATCTCCGTGAATATTCATGAAATAGTTTTCACTGCCCTATAATCCGATGTAAGTTTTGTGTGCTATCAAATAAAAGATGAACTCATCGCGTTTGTGGACGACGATTTTACAAAATTTAATTGAGACGGCATAAAACTTGAGTGAGGGATCAGTATGCGGACGTGTGATGTATAAGGAAGTCCCCGCTCGCCCATAAGATGACATTACTTACCTTGAGCTGCACCTGAGAACCCAGCCAGCGAGGGGGGGTGGTGTCGGGGGTCAGTGTTAGCACTGGGGGGCTGATGCTGTCCTGGGTCTCCACACGCACCACGTGACCGACACTGGGCAAACAAATAACAACATGTTAAAACCATCGCACTCTCAGTATAATGAATGGATCATTCTGTCCAAATAGTGAAACACATTCTTACCCTTGCAGCACAATGTGTTAAAAGGAATTATTCATGGTGTTCATATTGTGATACACTTTCTCACCCTCAGCACGAGCCACAATGTGTTAAAACCATGGCACTCTCAGAAAAAGGAATGATCAGGGACACAGGGTGGCCAAATAGTGAAAGACTATCATACCGATAGCACGAGCTGAAAGCGGACTTAGCATTGATACGCCATTTGGCTGGGCCAAACTGAGTCAGAATCACCCACCCAAGGGCAAAAATTGCGTCGTTATTTGCGCAGAATCGCACCAATTTCTCTGAAAGCAGCCATTCACCGCGTAGAACTTGAGGGAAATTGAGTCTAAGAATTATATATATAGGTAAAATTCGGGAAAAAAAGATGGAGATTGTACAATTCGTATACATATATAGTGTAAACTAAATCAGGTGAGTTTTGAAAAGCTACTTGCTTGTTCTAGATCCTGAAGAAGTTTACCGTGCACATCACCCACAGAACTACTGCCCACTGCCCGACTCTCAGCCTCGGGGCGTCGTTCACTATGAACCAAGTCTCCCATGCATCCCTGGAGGTATGCATGCCGGCGGCCGCTCAATTATGCAAATCTCCGGCCTCCCCGCTATCGGAAAACTGAATTGAGCTGAAGCCTTGCCGATATAAGCATCGTCCTGTTGCGAACGCTTATTGCCAGCACGAACCTTAGGAAAAAGCGTCATCACATTGCTTTTTCAAGTAGGAAGCAAGTTTTAAGGCCTAAAAATTTGTGAACTGCTGATAGAAATTTATTGTTCAGAAAAGAACCTAATTTGACGCGCTTTCGAAAAAACACACAGTTCACCACGTACCAAAGCAATGTAATTTCAATGCGATTTTCCGCAGCAGATTATTGGAATTTTTTCCTCAGTTTCGGTAGGAGACTTTGCGGGACTTTTGCTTGCGCTAACAGATTTTCTATGGCGCCTACGCTTGACCTTTGTTTGTTTGGCGTGATCTGCTTTATAGTGTTGGCCTCTTTTGCGTTATAGAGAGTCCTGGCCTCTTTTGCGTTATAGAGTCCTGGCCTCTTTTGCGTTATATAGAGTGCAGGCCTCTTTTGCGTTATATAGAGTGCAGGCCTCTTTTGCGTTATATAGAGTGCTGGCCTCTTTTGCGTTATATAGAGTTCAGGCCACTTTTGCGTTATAGAGAGTCTCGGCCTCTTTTGCGTTATATAGAGTGCAGGCCTCTTTTGCGTTATATAGAGTACTGGCCTCTTTTGCGTTATATAGAGTGCAGGCCTCTTTTGCGTTATATAGAGTGCAGGCCTCTTTTGCATTATAGAGAGTGTGGGCCTCTTTTGTTTTGCGTTGTGTAGCGTGCTGGCCACTTTTGCGTTTCATAAAGTGCATAACTTGGCGCATTTTCTCATTTATTGAAAAAAGGCTATATTGTGCCCGTCATGTCCGTCCGTCTGTCTGTCTGTCCACGTTTTGGTCGACGAGAAAATGCGCTCTCTGTCACTCACTGCAGTGAGTACTGATCTAATTTTTTTATAAAGCGTGCTTTTATTTTGTATTTTAGAGCGTAGGCCTCTGTAAGAGCATTGGTCATTATACCCACACAATAGGTAATGACTTATGGGGTAAGTGCCAGTCATTATTCACACTGTAAGCAAGATTAGAAATGAAAAGAGACGGGAACTGGGAATTTACTGCAGTTTAAATTAATAACAAAAAGCATTTGAAAATATATATTAAGCTGTGGAAAAATAATGCAAATAATACCTTTGGCAACGTGAGCACATGCTGCTGCGATCACCTAAAAGGTAATGCAGAAATAATAAATCGGACTTTATTTTTATATAGAGTTTCAACAATTTTTCAAGTTTTCTAAAAACTTCCTTTTCAATTACACTTCCTGAAGCAAAATCACGCATCGTGGTACTGGAAAATCAAGCGGACTGGTGATTTCAACAACGGACATCTCTACGGGTTGCCAAAAATTCATAAAATATCACCCACAGAACTACTGCCCACTGCCCGACTCTCAGCCTCGGGGCGTCGTTCACTATGAACCAAGTCTCCCATGCATCCCTGGAGGTATGCATGCCGGCGGCCGCTCAATTATGCAAATCTCCGGCCTCCCCGCTATCGGAAAACTGAATTGAGCTGAAGCCTTGCCGATATAAGCATCGTCCTGTTGCGAACGCTTATTGCCAGCACGAACCTTAGGAAAAAGCGTCATCACATTGCTTTTTCAAGTAGGAAGCAAGTTTTAAGGCCTAAAAATTTGTGAACTGCTGATAGAAATTTATTGTTCAGAAAAGAACCTAATTTGACGCGCTTTCGAAAAAACACACAGTTCACCACGTACCAAAGCAATGTAATTTCAATGCGATTTTCCGCAGCAGATTATTGGAATTTTTTCCTCAGTTTCGGTAGGAGACTTTGCGGGACTTTTGCTTGCGCTAACAGATTTTCTATGGCGCCTACACTTGACCTTTGTTCGTTTGGCGTGATCTGCTTTATAGTGTCTGAAACATTAAGTGCAGGCCTCTTTTGCGTTATAAAGTGCAGGCCTCTTTTGTGTAGAGTGTAGGCCTCTGTAAGAGCATTGGTCATTACCCACACAGTAGGTAATGACTTACTGGGTTAAGTGACAGTCATTACCCACACTGTAAGCAAGATTAGAAATTAAAAGAGACTGAAACTGGGAATTTACTGCAGTGTAAATTAATAACAAAATGGTATTTGAAAATGAATAATAAGCTATGTAAAAATAATGTAAATAATACCTTTGGCAACGTGAGCACATGCTGCTGCAATCACCTGAAAAGTAATGACTAAAGAGCAAATTGTGAATGCGACGTTGACTTCCTAAACGGTGTGGCACAGGTAGAAGGAAAGTTATAATTTTATTATAAAATAAAACTCGTCAAATGTGTAACACTATACACATGCACAGAGTGCTGTGGCTGCAACTATTTACCAGCCTTGCCCTAACTTTATTTATTGCGTGATCGTGACAACTCTCGCTGGCTCGGGACTTGATGCTGCTCGCTTTGGGCAAGCTGGACTAATGTCAAACAAAGTACAATTTTACTCTATAATCATTTTTTATTGCTATAAATAATTATTATTGTTAACATAACTTATTAAAATCATCTTTGTAGGTAAAGTAGCGTGCGTCTTCCGAACTGCTTTTTGTCTTCAATATCCAATCAACGCATGATTTATGTTTAAAATTAGATAGCAATTAAATGTTTCACAAAAGAGTTTGAAGCTTTTACACACAGAAACGCAATTCCAATGTACAACACCTGAAAAATAGTTAAGTTTTCTAGGCATTTCGTTCAACTGCAATTCTAAACTCGATTGAAAATAAACTCAAAATTTATTTATTTTTCTGTTTCCGATATCTGGGACTGAAAACACGTAAACTTTCCAATATTCAAAGCCTCAGTTACAGATATGTGAGGGTGAGTGGACCCTCTGGCCAGAAGTGTTGGAAATGCAGCCAATGTCGCTACAACACAACACAAGCCTGTTTTTTAGGCAACGCGCGTTTACCTAACAGCAATGCAGAGCGCTTGGTCTCATATTTTCAATATTTCCAGAGCGCGTGGAGACTACCGATATTTTTTCAATGCAATCAAAAAGAGAGGTAACCAACCAATATATGTTAATACTTTATGATTTCGGGGTTTCTCCAGACGTGCCGGCCATTTAATTAAATAACGGACGATCTCTAACAAATTGTCTGAAAATAGTTGTTATTTATTGTTTTAAGCTAGTGATATCCTCTTCCCAAATCCCCCCTTTAAACCCACCTGTTTCTCCTGGCGTGCCGGCCGTGCGCGGCGGGCAGCACGAGCCTGAGTCGTGACACGAGGTACACGGCTGGAGTTGACAGCTCAAACTTGCCCTTCTCCCTGAAGCTGAACACGTCTCCGGCGCTGCCCCGCACCAAATATGCCGACGTCATGTGCAGACCCGTGAAAGCTACGCGTATCACCCCTTCCAGCGATCTGAATGCCGTCGGTGTGGCATGGACACTTCCTGCCAACGCGGAACGGACTTTCCGTGTTTTCCTTGCATTTGAGTATGGTAGAGCGCTGAGATTTTCATTCTTCGACGGAATTTTCTGTTCCTTTTTTATTTTTGAATCAGAAAACTCTGATTGGTTTTCATTTGTTGACTGGAATTGACGTGTTTCCTGTGCTTTTGGAGATTTATCTTGATATTCAGTCGTGGAATATGATGAGTTTTTCAAGATAGGTTTAGGGTACATCCTGATGCTGACTATGCCTGATGGATCAAAGTTGTTCTCATAATTGTTTGTACGAGCTAAGAGATGCAAGGATTCAATTGCATCTACAGATTCTTTGCTGTTAAAAGAACTACGGGATTCCGTGCTCCCCTCGGACGACTTGTTGAGTTCAGATTGATGGTTCTTCGGTCCGCGAGTATTTGAGCTGCTCGTCGACTCGAGTGTTTTTCTCGACGATTCATGGCCGAGCTTCAATTGGACAGTAACTGGACTGGAGGGACTCGTATCACCGCAAGAGTGCTTGTCAGCGCCGCATTCTATTGCGTCACTCAAACCCTCGACGCTCTCGGCTTCGTCTAAACTCGAGTGGGTTTTATTTGAGCTGAAAAATACTTGTGTGATGCCTTGAATACTCTCACGGGATAGCTGCTCAGATTTGTACCCCGTTCCTTGGTGCGCTCGCCTGTGGCGAACTTTACCTGAAGATTGTGACGGATGAGGAACGTCGTAATGATAATCATAGTCAAATTCATCCACGTAGTATGATTCTTTTTTTCTTTGTTTCATAGGCTTACTGGGGTACATATTTTCTTTTAGATATTTACTTTCATCGCTCGGGTTTTCATATATTACGCTCTTTTCATTATCCACAGCACGAGTCTGGTCCAATTCTTGTGATTCCTTATTATTTTCTCCGATGTCTTCATCGTAGTGGTCTCCGTACTGATAGAAGAAGGGATCGTATTCTTCATCGTAGTCGGACACAGTCACTTGTTTGAGGTTGTTCTTGTCCCCTCCTTTGGGATTTCTTCTCAATTCGAAATGAGAAAAAGTTCCTGAGCCAGGAAGATCAGATTGCTTGGAGTGGCGACTTGAATCCTGCCCATATTGTGTTTCAGTCTTTGTGGAGTTCTCGAAAGAACCTGAATGGGTCTCCTGGAAACGTTCTTCCAGAGGATCGAAGACGAATTTCACCTGAAAAGTGAATGCAAAATCCAATGATCTTCTTCAATGAAATTTAAATTCTCTTGAATTTAACTCCAAAGTACTGGTTCGTCACAGAACCCATATAATATATCGAGCATTCGAGGGAAGAGCTCAGGGTGAAAGAATGACACGTTAGGGGCTCCGATGACATCAACCAGTGTTCTATTCACCACCAGTCGCCGATGCTTCATACGGAAAAATAAAATATTTAAATTTCAAATGCGCATATACCGCAAAAAAAGAGTTCCTACTGTAACAGTTATCGTTCCAATTAATATTTAGTTAAGTTGAGCAAAAACAGAGTTTGATCCCAACCGTCTTGGTTTGTACGACCTCTCACATAATCAGATTTTTGGATTTGCCCTCAATTGACCTCAGTTTCATGGACCGTCAAAGTTTGACCTTCAATATTTTATGTCAAGATGGACAAGTTTTGAACGACCTTTGAGTTTTATAAAATTTTCTTCTGATACTTTCAGTAAAGTAGCCGCGCGATGGCTGAAATGGATTAGCCTACAGCAGAAAATGGCTCAACTTGAAACACTGCACTTTATTCTCATAACTTATAGAGCTGCCGAAACAAAAATTGCTTTCACGTAAATTTATTCCATTACATTTGCTCTTTACCTCTTATGTTAACTCAGCAACTATCATGCAGAGTGCAGACAATCAATGACAAATTAAATTTATTAAAATAATCGTGATTGCAAATGATTAAAACAGTAAACTGGTATTAATATAAAAGACTCCCGAGCACAAATCAAAGGTCACCTCTTGCACGGTCATGGAGCTGAAGCCGGTGAGCGTGATGTTGTCGAGGAGGAGACGGAGCTTGAGAACGTCGCCCTCATGGACGTACTTGAGGGGCGCCGCGCCGTGCAGCGGCTCAAGCGGGGACTTCAAGCCCAGTTTTGGGTGCGTCTGGTGCGCCTTCTGCGCCAGCGCCAATAGTGCTGAGGCAACCACCGCGCACAGCTCTGTAGCAATAATAAATACAAGAATGAGTTATAGACAACCCTATTAAAACTATCAATAAAAAGAGTTTAAAATGTTGCGGAATAGCTGCTGCCTGTTTGCGCAGAATTTACTCTGGAGAATATATTTTTTTTCTTCGTAATGAGTTTTAGTCAAATTTGATTGTAAAAGGAAAAGTAAATGTAAGGGAGAATTTCCAAAACATAGTTAAGTTTCAACGCCGTAAATGTTAACGATAAGATCTCTCCAATAGCTCAGGGTTAGAAGTCCAAACTTTCATGTCATAATTTATCACACTATACAACGAATGATGAAAACACTGAAGCACAACTGATCATTTTTATCTGGTACTGAGCTGGGAGCCTTGCCAGAATTATTGTTCGGTAGCTCAGAATAAGATAAGGCTACTAAAATTTACTCATTTCATAATCAGCAACGTAAATGGTTCTGACCCCTGCAATGTAGCAAAACTCTGAAGGAAATTTAAAGGTTAAAATGTTGCATTGTCGTAATAGGCAATCACTAAAACCATTATTTTTATTGCGCACAGATCTGAGTGAAGCTCCGCGTCAATGGATTTCATTAACAGCCCTTTTAGCGCTTTGAAGGCAATATTGATGTTTATCAACAAATGAGTGGAATGAACGTTTTCACTATATGAAACTTAAGCGATAAAAACGAATGCCTCTATGAACACCATGGCATACATTAAAAATAATATTATCAATTAAATTATGGAATTTTCGATAAATGATCGTGTTAGATAGATTAAATACATTGTATAAATCTTTTCGTTATATGATCGAAGTCGAGCAAAATGTTAGGCATTAAACCCACAGCCAGTTCACCAAATCAGTATAAAGCTCTTGGAGCGCAGATATTTTATTGCAAAGCTCTCCTACCCGCCATTATTCATAACAAATATTTCGGAAGGCTCAATTTTGAATCGTCTGAGTGGAGCGAAAATTCAATTGGATGTGAGCAAACGGGCGCGCACTCCGCTTTCTTTGAGCTATCCCATAAAAACGCTTTACCTGACGGTTACCTTGTAAGTTTGCTCTTCGGGGGCGGCCTAGAGGATACTTTCATTGGATGTTCTCAGTGTTTGATCTTATGAAAGCAACTCGAGCCTAATTCACCTCTCATTCTCAACAGCCACTCCTGTAGAGCGCGTGTTTTATTCAATGTTTTACAAGACCGAACTGACTACGGATGATGAGCTTTGGGAATTAAATTTTACTAATTTTACGTGCATTAATGCTGCATCTAATTGATGAGAGCTTTTAACTTCGAAATTTCCTCAGGGTTTATCTAGAATTAATTCTCTACGACGTTTATGAATTCCCCCGGAATGCTACGTTCCCCTCTTTCCGTTTCCGGTTACATTCGCTTCGTCTGTAACTGCTACTTGTTTTGCATGTACTGCTATTGTATATTGCAATTGCATTGCTATTGCAAAATTTTAAAGCTTCCCCAGAGAATGTTTGAAATTTGCTTTGAAATTATCATAGCAAGAATCCAGTCATGAATATAACGGTGGCATTATGGCGGCCTTGTGGAAAAACACTTTTCGTCTTCGCTACAACTTCTCAGTCCCAATATGCAACTTCTTCGTCTTTTTAACATTACTGATGTGAAAACAAAAGCAGACATTTCCACTGGGAAAAATTCAGAGGCTCATTCTATACTTTTTGAAAGTTCCTCGCGTTCATCTTGAAAATTGCTTGGGGCTTCAGAGAGAAGCATTTTCTTCTAAATATTTTATTGCTTCATTTTTTTGTTCATGTGCGAAATCACCCAAGTGCGTCGTAAGCCTTCAACGAGTACCTCATGTTGAATATTAATATTAGTAGTTTGTTAAAAAACACAATATATAGTGAATTTATATTAATTAGATTTTAAATAAAATTTCGGAACAAGGCCCCAAGGTAGCTCGAAGAAATTAAACAACCGGAAATTTATTTCGTAAGAATTTTCAGGAAATCAAATGTTGTCACAGTCATCATTTCTGTTCGATTTTAGTATTAGAACTAATTTCATCTCGAGGAAATTGCTTCTTGTTCAAACCATTTGTTGATTTGTGTTTTATGATGCTTGAATATTTTGTGACTGAGTGATCAGAAAAAATGAGTTGATGAAAGAAAATATTTGAACGGCCAGTAATTAATTTATTTGAAAAATTACCAAATTTTCACAATCCTACTCTTGGGTGGTTTTGCTGCAATCTTATTTGAATGAAAATTAACATTCCGCTTAATGGATAGGATATCAATGATAATTTGAGATTTTCTGTCAAATGAGCCAGCAAATAATTATATTATTATTACAATTATATTGGATTATTGCCACACCAAATTGCAATGCTAGGAACGTGCGAATTGTGACTGACTCTAAACACAGCAGGCAATCGATTTCTTACGGAACTCACGCCTGGTAAACCTTTACTGCCAGAACAACTGTCAGGAGTAAAGGTCGTTTTTCATTGGAATGACCCAAGTGTGAGATGGCGTAAGCTAAACTAAATTTCGTCTTCTGCCGCCTCTTCAGTTTTAAATTCAATAAGCGTAGCCATAGCCGTGCAGTATATGGAAGAAATTCTCGTTTTGCAAATAATATCTGAGGCATAACTACCTTAATCAGGTGCACGATGAGCCAAACTCAACGATGTTGATAATATTGATTTTGTATTAAGCAAAGGTATTAATTTTTGTCAATAATCTTCTAATGCTGATGAGGTTTAACTCGGTTAAGAGTTATCTGCTCTCATTAGCGTTCAGAAAGGGAGAGACATGCGTGCTTCAGATACACACCAGATATTTGACGTTGATGCAATGGTAAGTGAACGAATCGACGTTAATTAAACGACGTTAATTAAATGATGAATGACGATGATGACGTGATGAATCGACGTTAATTAAACATTGTTTTGACATCATTTGCGTGGTGGGCGAGGATCGCGCGCGTGGCAGCCGCGTCGACATAATAAGCATAACACTCGGTTAATTGAACACGAGACTGAGTCACGAGACACTCAACCACAGAGTGTGTTTGCATGCTTTTGTACGAGACACACGTACCAACACAAATGCAGTTGTTGCTACGACTGTATGGACAAGTCATTAGGAGAGTATGGAATATGGCCCCAAGGTAGTACTAATGCCCCAATTAAGGTACTCTGCGTCCCCAACGGACGCAGGGACCGTAATTTTGCGGATGCGATTATGATTCGTTCAAGAAGCTGGTACTACGAAGAAATAATAGTAAAATAAAATGGGCGCGATTGAGAAGAATGGGTTTTGATTAATATAAGCATGAATAAAATTATATTTTACATTAACAGGCAATCACTATGAAATTTAGTCGACCTAATTTTCAAACATGAGGTCGACTAAACCGCAGGGAAAGAATTTCCGAACATGAGGTGTTTCTTATAATTAAATCGACGCTCCAGCCTTCCGCATCCCTCGGCAGATCTGCCAGCTTTGTTCGATAACATCTTACAACACGATACTCTTATTTAAGATAATCGTGCATGATCCCTTTCATCGACAACAAACAATGAGGACGCGCGCAGGTCAGGAGCCTTGTAGCATTTAGCCGCCTTTCCGAGACCCTGCGAGCTACTGAAGGCTTTCATCCCTGACTGCATTTGAGCCTCAAATTTCGGTAGCCTTGGACGGTATTTTATATAATTTTTTGGCCAATATTTCGGCAGCCTCTGGCCAGCTGAAGCTCGCCCAATGGAAATTATCCCATGCTGTTTGAAATGATCATTCGATCACTCTTCATGACTCGTCTTAGTTCAGTTCTTAGTTTGCCAGCATAAGATATGTTGACGGCAATTAACCAGCCACGTTATGCTTGTTGTACTTCTTGATTATGCCTGTTGGTTAAACTTGATGGTTAGCTTGATAACGTAGCTCAACTTTTATAGTTTTTGTTTCGCATGATATCTTATTTGCTTACAGGAGCCCTGATTTTCAAGTGCTGATCGTTTAATTGTTTAATATTTCATTTAATATTAAATTTAATTTAATAATAAATGTGGTAAATGTACATGGAGACAGGAATAGCAAGGTATTAAATCACTTAGTTGCTTGAATTGTAAAATAACTAAGATTTTGAGACCAAAGAAATTGATGCTCGAAGAATATATTACAAATAAAGATGGATAGACGAGTAGTAGATATTATAACAATAAATATAACTCAGTACTCACTGCAGTGAGTGACAGAGAGCGCATTTTCTCGTCGACGAAAACGAAGTCACGGACGGACGGACAGACAAACGGACAGACGGACAGACAGACGGACAGACGGACATGGTGAGCACAATAGCGCCTTTTTTCATATATGAGAAAATGAGCTAAAAATGATCAATGAATGACTAGGTAGAACAAGCACAATCAAACTGATGATGGAGCTAGACTCACAAACTTTTCAAAGAAGATAGTCGTGATTCTAGTGACATGTTCCTCGTTTTGAAATTCTTGGAATATAAAATTAACCATTCATTTCACGTACTTTCATTAACCATTAATTTCATACAGTTTGCGACAATGCGACAAGAAATTCATCGAAGGCATGGAAGGCAAAACGAATACGTTTATTCTAACATGCTTTCTTGGGGAAAAATATGCTAGGATATTTTCATGAGCCACTCAAGTTTTTGTGATACCAAGTCCGTGAAGTATTGCTGCAGTGATGTAGTTCATGTCTCTGCCCGACTGTGCATCACATCTAAGGTAAAACAAGCAAAATTTTACTGCCGCGGTGCGTCAGCAGTTTAAAGGCCAATAAAATGCCAGTCGAGAATTCCAAGGAGGAGGCTCCAAAATTAACAGAGTGTCCTTTTCGTGTTAGATTCTTTGGGACTCGACGTATTTTTTCAGGATTGTTTTCGGGACTCGATCAACGAGGAAATTATTTTCAAACAGTATTGGAATGTATCCATTGCATTATTTCTTATTGAATTGTAATTTTGTTTATAATTATCGAATTGC